TTTTTTGTTTCGAGTTAATACAAGCCAAACACGAGAGAACAAATAGTTGTTCATGTTCAGCTCGTTTATAATTCGAGCTTTAAAAACTTGTTTGTTTTTAGCTTGTATACCTAACGAACGAGCCGAACACGAACTGTTCGAGAACAACGAGCTTTTTTGACAGACCTACCTGTATACGTCCGAGAATGTGTATACATATATATTTGCTGTATGAGTCCGAGCACAACTTACCGTTGGCTTTAATTAAGCAAAAACTAAGTTTAGGATGTACATATATAGTAATAAAACCTCATATAACTAAACTTTAGTGAATCCATCCGACAGGAATCAACCGAAAGAAAGAAGCCATGAAAACAATGCGTACAGGAAGACTTCCATCCTGCCCCATTCTGCCTGCAATAATCTTTCTCGTCCTCTTGAACATGACTTGCCAGCTTGCCAACTCTCGCACGATCGATCTTACAATGGAAGCTCGATACGAACAGTGGATCACTCAGCACAAACGCGTCTACAGAAGCGCCGCCGAGAAGGCGCGCCGGTTCAGTATCTTCAAGGCCAACGTTGAGTACATTGAGTCAGCGAATGCCAAGCCGGACCGCAAGTACAGGCTTGCAGTGAACCGGTTCGCGGATCTCACCAACGAAGAGTTTGGTTCTACACTAAATGCCTACCTTGAGCGGTCGCTTAGGAGAAACTATGAAACTTTTCGTTATGGCAACGTGACGGATGTCCCGGATGAAATGGACTGGAGGAGGCTAGATGCTGTCACGCCCATCAAATCTCAGGAATCTTGTGGTATGTACAAAATTCAAAATTGATTTTGTTTGAGGGCCCGGCTCAAATCAAGTAGGATCGAGGAGGGCAATTTGATCTTTTATCCCATATTGAGATATCAGTTTTGCCAAAAATATCATTTTATCCTTCGTTGTCATTGCCTCTCCTACATTTACATTGGTAAAAAAAAGTTGATCATGCCCATAATTTGGCACAACATTAATATATGTATAATATGTATTCAGGTTCCTGTTGGGCATTTTCAGCCGTAGCAGCCACGGAGGGAATCAACAAAATCAAAACCGGCAACCTGATTTCTCTCTCAGAACAGGAGCTGATTGACTGCGATGTTAACGGGCGTGATCATGGATGCAGAGGAGGCACGACAAATGGCGCCTTCTCATTCATCGTAAAAAATGGTGGCATCACAATGGATACTAACTATCCCTATGCAGCAGTTGACGGAACCTGTGACAAGGAGAAGGCTGCAACTTATAACGCTGCAGCTACCATTAGAGGCTACGAGTCTGTTCCATCCAACAGTGAGTTGTCGCTGATGAAAGCGGCGGCAAACCAACCCGTGTCAGTTTTGATCGATGCAAGTGGTATGGATTTCGCGTTTTACTCTGGAGGTGTATTCATGGGGGTTTGTGGGACCCACTTAAATCACGCTGTGACGGTGGTAGGATACGGGACGGATTATGATGGAACCAGTTACTGGCTGGTGAAGAACTCATGGGGGAAGCATTGGGGAGAGGAGGGTTATATGAGGATGCAAAGAAATATTGAGGCCAAGGAAGGTTTGTGTGGTATTGCCATGTTTCCCATTTTTCCAATAGCTTGATCTTATGAAGCACTTATATGATACATTTAGTGTGTTTTACGCACTAGTCTTAGCATATTCATATGATTTTGGTATAACTAATGGTTCTTTGAATTCAATTATTCAATAGAACCTTTTTGATGTGTTTTTCATATAGCCAATGGTTATATAAAAGCTGACCAGACTCCATCTTATCATTACAAAATTATTGATATATCTCATTTTACAAACTCATGCGTATGTTGGTAGAAGGATAAGCCTGCCATTGAATTCAATGTATGATATCCAAAATTTATAAGCAAAAACATTGTATGCCTTATATTGCATATACTGAGTATATTGTGTTAAATCTTGCATTAAATGATGCATAAATAGAATGGGTATTAAATTAACAAGCCAATTATTAAAATACTTGTACTTAACATTAAAATTGATCATCTATTGCTAGCTTGACATAAAACAAATATAAATTTACTAGATGTATCACTATAAAATTCCAAAATATAATACTTAAAATTAATAAATAAAATATGAAAATTACATTCTTAAGCTGGTCAACATACTACTGCTTTGCCAAATCAATATGCTTTTGTAGAAAATAATTTTTGGCAAACTTCCAGATGAACATAAGGTTGGAGACAAGTTGATGAGAGTCTGAATTTTAAATTGAAGTAGAGATTTTGCTATGAATATCTTAAGGCAAATAAGGTAAAAACTGTTACTTTCGTTGATAATTGAGGCAATAACCATATTCACCCTAGATAAATGAGGGAAAAATTGTTGCTTTCATAAAATATAATATCATTTTATAATGTGAACTTTTTTATATCTCCCAATTTTTTGCTGACGAGTTAGATAAAGCAACAATAAAACTGAAAAATTCCTTTTTTTTTTTTTCAATTTATTGGCATTTAGAATTGGCTTAAGATGGCTAAAATATATATGTGATGCATATTAAAGAGAATTTAAAGTTTCTATTCACTCTAGAGTTAACAAGATCTAATATTCTAGCCGTTGTTTAGAATAATTCTCATTAACAAGATCTAATATTCTAGCCCTTGTTTAGATTTGAAAGAGATTTTTCACTTTGTGTGAATTTGTCAACTACTGAATAAGAGGATTGATAAGATAAAATCTTTAGGTAATTTTCTAAAATATAATTCTCATTTACTTAAGGCTTTGAGCAACTTTACATTAATCAAATTATACCAATTGTGAGTTATATGTGATTCATTTAGATCTCAATCGGTCAGTTTTTAATCCACATTTAAAGCCTTATAACGATATGATCATATTATCAAATGCTTGCAGTGTATAACTTGGTTCATTTAATAATTTTAACTCTAATGAAAATTAAATCAAATTATTTTCAAGGATTCAAAGAATGATCCTTACTTGAAAATTATCTGGAATTTATATTGAGCTTTATATCGATCGCATTAAATCAATTGTTTTCTTACTTAAATTTTATACATGTAAGATATGCTCATCTACAACTTCGTTGAAGCAACAATTAGTGCAAACTATCTACATATGAAAAAAAATTGAGTGCAAAGTATGGAAATAGAAATAAATGAAAATGGTAAAGGGAATTGAATTGAAATCATTTATTTTCTTACTTATTTTGTTTTGTAGAAATTGAGTTAAATATATTTATTTATTTTTTGGCTGATTGGAAAATTTTAATTTTTTTATTTATTGCAAGGAAAAAATTAATAGGAGCACACAACATGCAAAATTATAACTTCTTGTGTGAGGGACATCTATGCTGTGATGATCCACAATATTTTTGGTTTTCTAGTTACATTAGGATTGGATGGAGACATGGAAATGAGAAAAATGGCTTACCAAGTAGATTATCTCCAACCAATCTCAACCTATAAAATAGGGAGTCATAGGTAAGCCAGGATTGCCCAATCATGATTTCGGAAGCACTTGTATTTGGGTCTTACCAAGTAGATTTTCTCCGACCAATTTCTTTGTTTTATTTTCTTTGTCTTTTCATTTTTCTTCTGTCAACAGTACAAAAAGAAATAAGAGAAGAAATAATATAACTCAATTAGTAACTCCTCTGGAGGAGCAAATATTACATCCATACTTCTGACGTAATTTGTGTTTGGAGTTTAATAGTTGGGCGACACGTGATAAGCGGACCCACCACAACACACTGGGATTAATCAGTGTTAAAATTTATGAGGATCATTTGACACATGACGCCCCACTATTGGACTCTTGTCCTAATATTTTCTTTCTCTCCGGAGACAACATTTAAGAATACATCTAATGAAATATAATTGATATTTTTGAGGTGTCCCATTCATGCCAACATTGCTTTTCATAGTGGCACAAGGCTTTAGGAATCCAAACCTACTTGCTCGCTATCAATAATCGTTCCTATTCTTTATTTCCTTCTTTAAGTCCCCACGAGTAAAGCTAAAGCCCACGGCACCTGAAACAGATGGTTTTTGGTATGGCATAAAAATCTTCATTTGCCCATCCGCTGTGGCCGCATCTGCCATCCAAAAATGAAGTTTGCTTGGGCGTTCCTAAATTCCTAGTAGGGCTAGGCCACTTTTATTGAACATTTCCGTTAGCTTTTCCTTGGAAGAAAGGACATGGAATCGCTTATTGGCGGTCCCTCAGTCTCCACTGGATTAATTACTTTTTAGGTTTAGGATAGCTTTAGAATACTAGGGGGCCGTTTGGGACAGTTTATAAGTGTAGGGGCGTTTTTGAAAACACTGTGGTACTGTTTGGTTCGCGTGTTTTGCCCGCTTATTCAAAAATGCGGTTCCATTTTTACACTAAACGCAGTCTGCGGGTCGAACTCTGCGGTCCACCTATGGGCCACGTTTTAGGATAGGTTGTTTATCCTGAAACGCACAAGCTGCCCCAAACGTACCATAAGTTAAATAGCAATTTTTCTTTATCTTTTTTTTTTTATTCTGGTGAATTGCATCCAGCTAATGAGCTCTTTTGGATTGATGGGTTTCATGGATATGTTATATATAATTTATTTAAGAATTTTATCTTAAGAATTTTGGAAAAAATTATACACATGCTACATAAGTCATATATAGTTGCATTTTTAATACGTGAAGATTGATATTTACATTTATAATATTTTGATTATATTTTAATTTTAAGAAATTGTAGATGGTAATATTTTTTGATATGATATTAAAGATTTGAGTGCTATTGTGAATATAAGAAAATAGGTTTAGATTTATAAATACTAGGGGTGCAAGTGAGTCAAAGCGGCTTGTGAGTCAAATTGGGCTCGCCTGTATAATTAAGTGGCTCGTAAGTTGAGCTCCAATGAAGGAGGGTAAGATACTTGAATTCTTTTCGGAATTGAAAGAATTGCATGGGAGCATGGGAGACCGTCCTTTTTTTTTCATCGCATGCTCTCCACTCCGATTTGTAGATTCTCAACAGAGGCTCTTCGCCCTAATTAGTTGACTGACAATGACAAAGACTTCGTTTCGTTTTCTATTTAAATGACTATCAGTGGTGCAAAGTAGCTTTCCTCTCGGGAGCTTATCAGCTAACAAGCCAACTTAACCTAGACCGAACTCAACTCGTTAGTTCGTGCGTCAGCACGTTTAAAAAATATTAAGATGAAATACACTCAAACTATATTAAATTATAAGAATTTATCTTTAAATTGTTAAAATACTAAAATGATTACATTTTATATTTTATAATAAGTGATTTATTATTATTTGTCGTATAAATGCTAATTATATGTCATTTTATTATAACATTAATTTAAATTAGTTTTACCTTCTCTCTTTCATAATAAATAAGTCACATGGGCTCGAATTTGTAGTCTGGAGCACGAATTCGAGCTCGAACTCGATTACTCGATTAATTAATTAAGCTCAAACTTAAATTGAGATAACTCGACTTATTTATACCTCTATTATTGAATTCATAGTATGTATGTAAACGCCATTAAAATATAGTTGGGTTTATATAAAAATGTGAATTGGTTGATTTGTTTTTTCTTGAACAACTTTTTGCTTATTTAAAGGTCTCATATATCATTTCTCGCAAAGGCTGTCCAAAAAGCTCGTTGTTCGCGAACAGCTCGTGTTCGGCTCGTTAAGTAGCTCGTGTTCGGCTCATTCGATAAGTAAACGAGTCGAACACGAACACACTGTTCATAAGCCAATTTCGAACACGAGCATATTTCGAACACGTGCTATTTCGAACAAGCCGAACACGAGTCAAGCCTGAGCTCGCTCAAGCTCGGCTCGTTTACGGCCCTATTTCTCGCAATAGGTAAGAACTCAATGGCTTTTGAATTAATTGGCAATTTGGAATTACTTTTTTTCATTTGATACTTTTAGTATATTTTATTTTATCTATGATAAGAAAAAATATGTTTGTCATATTAAAAACATTTTAAATAATTTTAATAAATTTTAAATATTTTTAAGAATAAGTAGGTTTATTTTTAAAGATAAAAAAATTAAAATATATAAAGATACACTAAACAATGATAAATTTAAATAATAATAATAATAATAATATTCACCCCAAACAGGCACAAAGGGAATTTTTGGGATCCCGTTACATATATAATTTTCTATTTCTGGTTTTGTAATATTTAAATTACATTTTGATACTAAATTGAAACATATTTATATCTTAAATATTATATATTTTTATTTTCATGTAACACACCACATTGCTTGATTTTTACCGTTTTCGATGGCAGTGGTGGGTGTGGAGGCTATAGATTACAGATATTAGCCAGCAAGGCTGAACTAGAAAGTTGTCGTGAAATTCTTAACTTTGCATACTCTCAAGTGAGAGAAATTATTGCATCAGGAGTTCGGATGTAATTTTGCATCAGAATTTCAATCAGGACCTACCACGTGTACATGTGACAGATCCTGATTGAAGTCCTGATGCAAAACTGCATCAAGACTCCTGATGTAATCATTACTAACGCAACAGGTACGCCCCATCCTGGAAAATAAAAAATAAAAAAAGAACTAGATTGTCATATA